AGTATGTAGTTCTAACTTTTGAGTCTGTGGATGAAATCCTATGGTGTTACCATTCAAATGAAACCTCTTCAGCAGTTCTTTTACATGGTACTATTTGTTTTTCAGCAGCTTACAAAATGAAATTTGAAATGCCACTAGGGGGATTGAAAGTGTTATGTTACGTACCTGATGGTTACAGAGAATGGCCACAGCTCGATTCGCTCGGTTGTACGATAACACTTTGGCGTTTACATTGTCCTCGGGATCCGTGAGTTTGTTAAGCTGATCCTGCAGTGTCATGGAGGCGTTGTACGTTCGAAAAACTTTGGCAGTTAAACCGTCCATTAAATCAGATAGGTACTTGTTCAATGAAGTTGTCTGATTGAAGTGTAAAAATACAAGCGTCAACGAAGTCTCCTGATGGAAGGTTCGACTTAACAAAGTATATCTTTGGGGTAAACATAGGGCTTAAACTTCATCAAGATATTATAAGATTATGCATGTACTTACTGACAATCTGTCGAATAAATCATCTCCATCCTGTTTTCCTTTCTTAAATAACTTAAGATTCTTAAACACCTGAAAAAATATCATTTATTTATGTTATCTTTACTCTTTAATAATTATTGTGTTGTATTGTAATAAGCCACTACGGTTTCAATTTGAGCTTCCTCGCCTGAAAAAAAAAAACCTTGTAATTCTTCCACTTGTGAAATTTACGTTACTTTTAACCTTTACCTATCTTTTTTGCAATATAATATTGAATGACTGTAATTTTTTCTGGCAAATAAATAAACTGAAACTGAAACTGTTACTCAATTTAGCCTAGAAAAAAAAGAAATTTAACGAGAACAAAAAAACAGCTCACAGCTAATCAAAAACCCTTCAATTTACAAATAAAAATTATATTGGCGAGATATGGGAAAGGAGATAATACTTCTTTTTGACTAGCCATTCTCATTCAGTCACTATTCTAAAGGAGTGAACGCCAAGTAACACAAACTCAGTGGATGGGTGCAAGAATGTAACCATATTTCTTGCAAGTCAATAAAATAAATCATCAGTTTACTAAATCCCACACTGAAAATACATTATATAACGTGACACTAGCATTCAGAGTACAGCTGTAGGTAAATCTTGCTAACGCTCTCTCCTGAGGCTAACCACAGGCTACCCATCGATCAGCACGAGGTTTTACGCATGTCATAGTAAAATAAAGCATAGCTCTCAAAGGATGGATTCATTTGAAGCATACAGGTGTACATGTCGTATTTGGCAGTTCGAATTTTGTTTTGAAGCTCATAAACACGTTAAAAAAAATTCCAACAGGCAAATACGACGGCTTAAAGCAATTTCGTTTCCAGAGTCCGCGTTAACCTTGTCCAGCGGTCTCAGTTGCCGTTCCGCTGGACAAGGGTAACGCAGACTCTGGGAACGAAATTTGGCTTGTAAATGCTGCAAACGAAGCCCCCTCAAATGCCAAAACTAAGGGAAGAGTAAATTTCACTTACCTTTTTTTCTACCGGGACAAAGTTCCAGTATCGAACAGAGTCTTTACCAAGGAAATCAAACTCCACTACATGTTCCTTGTCTTCCCACTCATCATGCAATTCTATACACAACAAAGTAAGTCACGTGATAAATATGGGATAAAAAGTGTCTATAATTTACAAACAAATATTCCAAACTGAAAGCAAGAAACTTTTACGTTAGTGGAGGAAAACCAAGCCACTTAGCTTTTTTTCGATCGTTTGATTTCTACCAATAAATTATTGAAAGAAGGAAAAGTAAAAATTAATTACTGTCATTGTTGCATACAAAATAACATTGATTCCCATCAATAGGCCATTTTACAGTTGTGAGCATAGTATCCTAGCCTTTGAGTGAACGTGAGGGCGAGGTTGACCTTGTTCTCATACAAACATCCTTCCTTTTCTAATGTAAATTTTGCCTAAAAAATACTAGTTAGCATAGCAACAACATGATTCACATAACAAAGCAAGCAGTGGAGGCTGCCTTTAAGCTGGCCTAGAACACAAGATCACTAGCTAAATTTTAGGGTAAGAAGCCTATTGCTAAAAAAGGTCGCAATTTCAGTACAAAGAGGTCACAATTTCTACTCACTGATATGCTCGAATCTCAATGAACAACAGCCCACAGTGTCGGCTGTGTCGTCATCTTTTTCGTGTCCAGCTCGAAGAGCAAGCTGAAAATTGGAATCACAATAAGTTTTCATTAGAGAGGTTTCCATTTATTGAAAACAACTAAGCAAAAAAATAATAATAATAAAAATTACTCAAAGACAAACTTAACATGGTTTTGCTAAATAAAGGTCGCCATTTTTCAGAAAAATTGGCTAAGGTAAGGGTGAGTTCTTGTAGCCAGCCCTCCCACACAGATCCCTAAGAAAATCTGCATAGGAAGCTAGATGTTAAGCAGGATTTTGCCTTACCTTGTCAATGAAGTATAGGGCAACACCTCTGAAAAAGTACAAAAATCAAAATGAGTTAAACATCATCACAAGTTCTAACACACAAAGATCTGATGCAACGCAAAGATGATAACCATCACATTGCTTTGATCAAATGTTCTTCCAAGAAATTTCAAGCAAATCCATGACCCCCAAATGGACCAAAGCGTTGGGAATCTTGCCACTACAATTTTAACTAAATTTTTTTAGAGTAGCTTTTGGCCAGCATCTCAAAAAGTCTTACTGTAGCTTCTGCCTGTCCTGAAAATGCTTGCCTGGTCCCTGTATGGCATCTTCCCAGAGGGATACCTTCTCAGTCAGTGCATTTCGGTGACATGTGCAAGATGAACAGCCAGGAGACGTGACCATGTGACCCAAAATGCACAGACGGCATGGAATAATGAGCCCTAGGGGCTATGCAACATGTTTGCATAATAGCAGAAGTACATGTACTATTTACCTCTGACGCAGTCTCATTTCTTTGGATTTCCAGTCCTCTTCATAATCCTCTCTGATTTTCTGAACACAGTCCTGAAACGCAAACAAAATTATGATTTTTGTGGCATCCCCCAACAGATGGCATAGCCTTACAGCTTATCTGTGTTGCTACATCAATAGCTTTATTCTAGTGACATGGAGTAATGTAAGTCTTTTTTTCTGGAATGAGAATAATTACAAATTAGATAAATTACCACTCTACTGCATAGACTACCAGAAAGCGGGGTAGCTCATTGTTAGGTACCAGATTTTCAAGAGGTATACCACTACCTTTAATTTCCTTGCTGTTTCATACTTCTGCCAATCCTTTTCACCCTGAAAACAGTTGCAAACAAATCATTATAAGTTACTATAGCAAGTCTATTCAAAGAGAAATAACTTAATGGATTGCAGTTCAGTCTCACCTTTAATCTTGACGTGGGATTTAACATGACATACTTGTAACTTCCTTGAATATTCTCTACCCAGCAAGCAAGCCATGATACCTTTACATAAAAACACATGTACATCAATGTTAGCTAGGTTTTGAAACGTTTTGACCAGTGACAGAATTTTCTCTTTTTAGTTTTTAATGCTTAACAACCCAGAGTGAACACAACTCAATTCATTCTGTATCACTTCTCTGCAAGCAGTCTATAATGATCTGAACTTGATGCCTGCATTAGTGTCATCATTATAAATTTTTACCTTATTATCATGAATGACTTTCTGCCACTTGTGGCCTTCAGGAGGCTCAGGAATTTTTGCACCTCTGCAAAGAAATAAAAACAAAATAATGTTATGATCATAAAATGATTAACCTACTTGAATTTGATGAGAGTGCTAGTG